GAAAAAACAATTGCAATAAAAATGAGCTTTTTTTTTTTTTTTTAAGAATAAATAAAATTTAGATATTGAACAATGTTTTTAAATAAATTTGACAGTTAAGTTAAACCCAAGCATTAACTTTAATTTTAATAAACTTAAATATATTTTTTAAATCAAAATTAAATTATTTTTTTATCTGAGTAAAGTTATATATTTTTATCAAATTAGTTTTAAATTAAATCATGTATTTTTTATTTGAATTAAATTATATTATTATGATCTTTTAAACAAAAAAATTAATTATTACAATAAAATAAAAAACAAAATGAAAATAAATTTTTAATTTTATTTGAGTTTTTTTCATTAGTAAAAAGCGCTTGTATCTAACATAATTGTCATTCAAACTTTTGTAACAAATGTTTTTACATAAACGTCATTCAAAAGTTAATGTGGCTTTTTTAAAATTAATTACTTCTTTTATCTTACCGCTTATAGAATAATTTAAAACTTAAAAATAATATAAAGTTGCTTAAACTTAATCGCTTAGAGCTTACATAAAATAGCTTAAGGTGTATGTACAACAAGGCCTGAGTTTGCAAATGTATATATTTAAAATTAGAATAGAATTACTCATTTTATGTATGTTTAATATCTTTACCAAATAAAAGAGTATGTATTATTACCAAAAATATAACTACAATTTTAGTAATTTTATAAGTATGAATACACAATATGAATACACAAATTAAGATATGTGTTGTATATATAATCTAACATATAAACTTAAACTATATAAAATATAGCAAATATTTAAATAATATCAGTGTGTAAACTAGCCCTGTGGGGCCCCGTCAAACGCGGTATTCCCAAATGCTCATAAAATTAAAATTCACAATTTAAAAGTGAAAAATTCCCATTCTCCAAATAAAGTTTGCCATGTTAAAGTTTAATAATTATTCTAAAAATTATTGAAAATTACTTTCTGTTAAAAACTAATAGAAATTATTTTTTGCAATGCGTTCCAACAACAGCAAATATTATTAAAAAAAAGTTAGCAAGAAATAAAGTACAATTTAAAAAATTACAAATTTGTTTGGTTTAACACCCACAAATGCTATATCTTTAAAAGTTTTGCCCTTTTTGGCTGAAAAGTTAAATAAGTTAAATAAAAGTTTTTTGATTATAACAAACTGGTTCTAGAAATTTTTTTAATGAGGAAAATATATTTCTTTACTTTACTGGTTGCTTATTTTTAAAACGTAAATTAATTATGTATATTAAATTGTAAATTAAATATCTTTAATAACAAGATTTTTTTTATTACAACAAATTGTTACTAGAAATTTAAAAAACAAGAAAACTAGATTCACTGCTTACTTGAATTTAAAACATAATAGCAAATTTAAATGTTTCAATTAACCTCAGTCACAATAACATTTTATGACTATTCATTAAAAAATAATTATTGGTATTCTTCTTTGCTACAATAACGTGCTATCGCTTGTGATCTTTTGTAATTCTTTTGTAATTAAATAACTTTTGTTGTTGATTTTGCGGAGACTTTGCAATTGTAACTTTATTTTGCTATGCGACTTATGTATAAAGAAAGTTAATATTAATTATAAAATTAAACTCGCTATAAATGTAAAATATGAAATTTATGAGGTTGTGTTTACTATTTTCAAAACCTTTTTTATTTTTATTTTTTTAACATTTCTTTTGATGACACAATTGATTAAATGATAGTGTAAGGGTTTGTCGATAAATGACGTCAAACAGAATTTGAATAATAATTAGAAGTAGAAGATCATTGGCCGAAATTTTCATTGAACATAAATTGCTATATTACTTTAAAAATTATCCTTTGATGCCCACCAGTGAAAAAAAATATATATATATTCAAAAGAATACTCTTAACATGAAAGTGGCATTAAGATTAGAAGTAAATCAAATATATTATTCAAAATAATAATTAATACACACTTTATTTTATGATATAAAAATATATAGTTCTGAATATATTTTTGGAAATTGGAGCTTAATTTGCCTTATCGATATGAGACCACTTTTCATTTTGTGTTGATTTCATATTCATTTTCAATCAATGTTACAGGCAGTATTTTGTTTTATTTTTGGTGCTGTCTAAGCAATGTATGCAGCACTAAAGTGGAGTAGAAGAAGAAATAATATAAGAAAAAGACCCCACACCTTTCTGGTACACATTTTTATTTCAGGGGGGAGAGGGGGGGGGGAGATATTTGGTAAATTTTTTGACAAACTCCCAATTTTGTCAAAATGCTGTATCAACTTTATTTCTAGTTAACACCCTGAATATATTAAGTATTTTTCCAAAGATGAAATGGGAAAATGAAAATATGTAAACTTTAGCAAAAGAGGATGTAAAAAATGCAATAAAAACTTCTCCTTATCCATGTATTATACATTTTTGATGGAAAAACTCTTTATGAAATAAATACAGGAAAAAAGTTCAAGATTGACACGCTAACAGTTCTTGTGAACATTAAGTGTTAGACGCACCTACTAGGTGTTCTTCCTTTAACTTCCTCATCTGGTGAAGCTTAATGCACAAGCATTATGAACCTACTAAATGAATATAAACTTGAATCAAAAGTAGGAGGTCTTTGTTTTGATACAACAAAAAAGGTTCAATTGTAAAGATATCCAACAATTTAAATAAATATCTTCTAAACTTAGCATGTAGGCATCACATAACAGAATTCAAAATGGTGCATTTTTTGAAATATACAACAAATGAGTTGAGTACAGGACCAGAAACTTATTGTTTCTAAAATTTAAGAGCCTATTTGAACATCCTAATTTTAGTTTCACTCCAAGTGATATGTGCAAGTTTGATTGGAAGGAGGTTAGTGGTAGTACAAATGAAAAGGCTGCTGAAGATTCTATGAACTTTTGAAAAGCATATATAGAAAGAAAGGGGATAGTAGGAGAAGATAAACACAAAGACAGAAGAGAGCTGGCTGAATAAGTTGTGATTTATCTATCACCTTCTGTTTATGAAATCAGGGAAACTGGAACTCTCCATTATGTCTGTTTTCTGGCTAAAGCAATTTACTATCAGAAAATGCAGCTTTTGTATTCTCAACTTGACTTGGTTCAAAAAAACAATATTCTTAAAGAAGAAATCAAGCTTATCGTGGAGTTTGTAGTCTGTTTTTATGCCAAATGGTATTTAGAATCAAGTAATGTGTCAAAGGCCCTCAATTTAGATGATAAAGGTATCCATCAGATTCATCAATTCAGAAATATTTGTTGGAATCCAAAAGCAGTTAATTCTGTGCTTGATTTGCTTTTCAAGCACACTTGGTACTTAGACTCAACTATGATTCCAGTAGCTCTATTGGATTAGGATTTGCCTTTGCATGAATAACAAAAAATTGCAGCTGTAATTCTTTCATTTAAAAGGCTGAACACTTTCAAAATGAAAAAAAAAAAGTACATTAAAAAAAAATGCTAGTACTGAGAAAGATCCACCAATCTTAGCCCCTTTGGTAGATGAGTTTTCTTACCTTATGTTTAGTTTTAGTGGTTTAAAAAATTGCCGACCTTGTTTCACATATATACATGTATGTATATATATGTATATATGTGAAACAAGGTCAATATATATAAGGTTGGCAGTTAGGTCGGCATTGCCGAATGCCAACCCTAATTCTGAGGGCTGTATATGTATATATATATATATATATATATATATATATATATATATATATATATATATATATATATATATATATATATATATATATATATAGTCTTGCATGTCTCTTGCGTAGCATCAAAAAATATTTCCCATAAACTGTAGTTTTAAAGAGCGCGTTAATAAACCAGACCAGAAAAAGTTTTAAAAATTAAATTTTTTTTTTTAATTGATAGACTGCCTGGCCAAACCAAACCCTCAGTCGATGTAGCAGCACTCTCTTGCGAGTCAGGCTATTTGTCAGTCGTTGTAGCAGCACTCCCTTGCGAGTCAGGCTATTTGTCAGTCGATGTAGCAGCATTCCCTTGCGAGTCAGGCTATTTGTCAGTCGATGTAGCAGCACTCCGTTGCGAGTCAGGCTATTTGTCAGTCGATGTAGCAGCACTCCGTTGCGAGTCAGGCTATTTTTCAGTCGATGTAGCAGCACTCCGTTGCGAGTCAGGCTATAAGATAGTCGATGTAGCAACATTTACGCATGTTTAAAAAATGTTTTTTATTAAATCAAAAACAAAAACACCACTAATTAAAAAAAACTTTCTAGTCGTTATAATTGCGGTTTTTTAAAAAATTTTTAAAAAACAATTAAATTTAATGTACTTCCGCATAAATTAATTGCTTTGACATTTCGATGACAATCAAAAACAGCTTAAGAGACGAGGTAATTAAAATTGTAGTCGTAAGAGACTTTTTTTACATTAAAATGCTCTTAAAGCGACACTATATGAGTATATATATATATATATATATATATATATATATATATATATACATATATATATATATATATATATATACATACATACATACATACATACATACATACATACATACATACATACATACATACATACATACATACATACATACATACATACATACATACATACATACATACATACATACATACATACATACATACATACATACATACATACATACATACATACATACATACATACATACATACATACATACATACATACATACATACATACATACATACATACATACATACATACATACATACATACATACATACATACATACATACATACATACATACATACATACATACATACATACATACATACATACATACATACATACATACATACATACATACATACATACATACATACATACATAGATATATATATATATATATATATATATATATATATATATATATATATATATATATATATATATATATATATATATATATATATATATATATATATATGTATATTATATTCATACATTGTGTTATAACTTTATTTAGAGACAATTCGATTTTAAATGACTTGATTGATTCTGAGATTTTTGAAAGGGGAGGTAATATTTTCTTTTTTTTTTCTTACTTTGTTTCTATTGTTTTTTGAAGTTTTCAAAATAATTCTCTTTTATCTATAATTTTTAAATATTACTTTTTTAATTTTAAGTCAGGGTCATTGCTTTAATGTCAAAATGACATTTAAACATTTTTAGATATGTCTAATATTTTTTGTTATTGATGATTTTATTTCTTTCTTATTTTGTATCAGATAGTAATAAGATAATAGTTAAAAAAATTTCTATGTAAAGAAATTTTTTTTTTTTTTTTGTTTAAATAAACATTAAAAAATAATAAGATGCATAGTTTTGATTGTCGTTTTACTGTCCCCCCCTTCCCCTTAAAATTATGGAAGAAATTTGTAACCCTCCCTCCCCTCCTAAAATTTTTTTTTTTTTTTGTTACAAATAAGATACTATTTTTAACTTTCTTAGCTGCCTAATTATTTAATGAATACATTTTAATGCACATAAATTAATATTACTTTGAAAGTCATTATTTGTACGGGCATATAAAGGCCATTAAAAAATGATTATTTGTACGCAAAAATGTTTATATCTTTTATTTTTTTAATTTTTTTAATTCATTTTTTGATTGATTAAAGTTTCACAAACTTATAATCAATGTGTTCATAAATTGGCTGATATGGCCGTAGTGGCAGTGTAGTTACATACATTGAATGACTTTAATAGGTATAGAGGAAGGAAAGTTGTCTTATATTCTTATATATGTAGCATTCTTTTAATATGATATAAAGTTGTATAAATTAAAAATGACTAAATGGACAATTAACCTCCGAAGATATATTTAATTTTTGATAAATATGTTATTTAAATAACTTCTTTAGCAACAAGTCAGTCTAGCGATGCAAGTTGTATTAACATTATAATATTTAATGCTAATGTGTATAACCATTATTGTTGTTTAATTATAGGGGAAGTGGGTGGCATAACCGCCCTCGTAACGTTTGGATTAATGTTATATGAAAACAAAAACGAAATGTGTCTTTTTAACAGTTTATTTCAATAACCACATCATTAAGCTCTAAATTGATGGAATTAAGAAAAAAAATAAACGGTTTTTGTTAATGTTATTACACAAAAATTACACTTAATGAAAAAACAGTTTTTCCCCCATCGTGAGGCAGAACCGCACCCTCACAAAAGTTGTTGGTGGTACACTTTTCTTGGTACATTTTCTTTACAATTGTCACAGCTCAGATTATTTGCTGATTTTGTTGCTCATTTGAATACTGTGTAGGCATTACTGTGTAGGCAATACTGTGTAGGCATTCTTTGTACTTACAATCTGAGTTTTCTCATTCGATATACTCTGGACTTTATATTTTATTCAAAAACTCATTTAGAAAAATTAAATAAAAAATGAAATCTTATTTCCAACATCTCAAAAAAAACTATTTCTATTCAAGTTTTTACATGAACACATTTAAATGTGATGATTGTAATTGTTTTTATTTGTAATTACCTAACTTTGATAAATATTAAAAGTATGCGGTTGTGCCTCCTGTGCGTCTATGCGGTTCTTCCAAAGAGGACAGTTTTTGGAAAGAATAAAGTTTCATAGCTTGCTTATTAGGTTATGTTGATACCAAAAATGGTTTCCACTTAATAAAGTAATGCTGATAACATATATCTTTAATACTAAAATCAAATATTGCTTAATCATCCAAAAAAAGGTCTGGAAAAATATGATGTAAATATAATATTTTTATCAAAATAAACATTATTATTCACAACTTCTCAGAAACGGCATTCTTTTTGACAGAAGCAAAATGAATGAAACTGTTTTACTAACGCTTGGTATGTTTTTTGCCATATTAGATAACATTTTTCAAAGGGAAATGTTAAAAAATGGTTGTAAAAGTAAATGTTTATACAATTAAAAAAAATTATATACAACACTTTTTAATAAATTTATTAAAATTTGTTAATTTATTAAACCAATCATTAATAGTAATTTATTACTTTATTTAAAAATGTTTTGCATAACTTTAATACCGTTTAAAAAGATAACGCTTATTTCATAGTTTTGCTTCGAGTTTAAGTTTTTATTTTCATTTTAGTGCTTATATAATTTCTTTTTTGTTATGAATTTGTTTTTCGTTTCTTTTTTCATTAGGAATTTTTTTTTCGTTAGTTTTTTTTTTTAATTTTTTTCGTAGTTTAAGTTTAGCTTAGCGTTTCTACATTCAGAGCATTTCTGAAATTTTTAAATCATCAAAACATATAAACAATTGTGGTCAAGTTGTCGATAAATAAAATCATTTGCGTGGTCAGCAATAGCGCTTTTTATTGTTATTTAACTAACTTTGATTATTTTTCAGATTAATAATGGTTAATATATAATATAAATGAATCATAATGGAAACTAGACATAATGATCAATCTATACATATTATATTAGGGACCACTCCTGGTTTCAATGACAAGGAAATCAAAGGACATAAGCTACCAAAAAAGAAGCAAGTAATTCTTTGCCTGCTTGCAAACCTTAAGGATTTGAACTTTAATGATGCATTATCTCTTACAATTGATAATGTCTTGAAGCATTATATAAAGTCAAATATTGCTCCAATAAGTAGGAGAAACAACATTGGCAAAATAATCAAGGAAGCACATAATAAATTTATGAAGTTAATGAAATACAATGAAAATCAAAGATGTTTGGATAACCCAGGAATCAAGAAATTTAACATTAATGTCAACATTAGATGCTACCATGAAATTTTATAAGAAATCTTTTCTCCAAGATATGGAAGCTCAAAAATGACATAAAACAGCAAAGGAAAAAGAATCCATCAATGCAGACATTGCTTTTATGCAAAACATGATAACTTTCAGGAAAGCATCTTATTCAGGAATTGACAAAGTCCATGCAAAAGTTGTTGAGAAAAAACAGAAAAGAACCTATGATGAAGCTTTTCCCAAAAGAGACCATTCGTTAAAGTTCAAAGAAACTGTTGAGTTTAAGTTAGCCAGCAGTTCTTGTGATGAATCGGTTGGGGGGAATGCTGGACCCAGCTCTGCCTGCCCTGAAAATGAAAGGCAACACAAAAGGCAAAAAAAATCAAACACATATTTGTTCCACATGATATTCTATAGAATCCAAATGTTATTGCCTGGAGTGTGAGGAACAACATAAGTAAATACCTGTATTAGTATCCGGAGTCAATGAAACTAAACTTCTTGGTGTACCACCCCTTCCACGTTCAACCACAAAAGCTGATCTGAAACATGGTAAAATCTTTGTTGTAACAAAAAATCTACTAAAAGATTGGAAATGCGACAAAAACATGAAAGGCATGGTCTTTGACACAACATCCTCGAATACAGGTTAGGCAATTAGCAATTATTTATTCCTTTTTTGATATGTTAATAGTTTATTACATTTCAAATCAACAAATCATTTTTGAACAAACTCTAGTGATTTGATTGACCCTGGATCAATGAGGTTTTTCCATATTGTGAATTCTCCCTATGAGTTTCTTAAAATACCAGCCCATGAATGGACAAAAATGGATGACTTTCTTGAACTGAAGACAATTGTTCAAAGTATTCAAGTTGTCATTGAAGCTGCTGAAAGAGGAGTAAAGCTATGTCATGATTTCTTGGATGTAACAAAGGAAAAAGAAAGATGACTTCGAGTAGTTGAAAGTCTGTTGAAAAAAGTTCCAGATCAGCGCAAACTAACACCATGTTTTCAAGAGATGTCGAAATTCATAGCACTGTTGATGATTGGTGATTACATAAATGAGGTTACAATAAATAAATAAATGAGGTTACAATTTTTATGATAATTATTGAACATTGTGCACATGGTATTACATCATTGGATGGAAAATTTTGCTTTTTAAATAAATTCAATCATTTAACATAATATTTTTTAAGTAAATTCAATCATATTCAATTTGATTGTGCTGGCTCAATTTTTTGAAAATCATAAAAATGCATATATTTCCGGTGTATATATATATATATATATATATATATATATATATATATATATATATATATATATATATATATATATATATATATATATATATATAATATATATATATATATATATATATATATATATATATATATATATATATATATATATATATAAATATATATATAAATATATATATATATATATATATATATATATATATATATATATATATATATATATATATATATATATATATATATATATATATATATTAGGGTGCATCACAAAACAACAATTTAAAAATTTTGATTTTGTCTGACACCTTATTGTGTTCTATATATTAAAAAAACACTGGATTTCAAATATTTTGGTAAAAAAAATATTTTCAGAGGTCCCACAACACTCTTGAATATTTAATGGGTCCCTAATATTTTCAGAAAAATATTGTATTTTTAAAGTAGGTTATGTTTGGTCTTAAATGAAGCGAAATTTTATAAAAAATTTTAAAATAATCATAATTTTATAAAAATAGCATTACTTTAGATTTTTCTGCAAAGAAAATAACAAAATTTACACTTTTTTCTTATTTGCTATATCTATGGCAGAAAAATCTGAAAAAACATTTTTTTTTATAAAATACTTATTATTTTAAAATTTTTTATAATATAATATAATATATATATATATATATATATATATATATATATATATATATATATATATATATATATATATATATATATATATATATAATATAATATATATATATATATATATATATATATATATATATATATATATATATATATATATATAATATATATATTATATATATTTATATTATATATATATATATATATATATATATATATATATATATATATATATATATATATATATATATATATATATATTATCTTTATTTAATGGTTTATATTATTCTATTATTATCTTTAATGGTTATATTATTATTTATTATTTTTTCAGCAATGATATATTGTTTGTATCATTGACGCATAATGTCAAAAGCACAGCAGAGTCTCCA